AAATGGCCATCAGACACATGAAAAGAATGCTCAGCATCACTCAGCATCAGGGAAATGCAAATCAATACCACACCGAGATATCATCTCACTCGTTAGATTGGCCGGTATTAACAAGACTGAGAATAACAAATACTGCTGAGGATGTGGAGAAAGATGAAGGCTTCTACACTGTTGGTGGGACTGTAAAATAGTACAGCCATTATGGAAAACAGTATGGAAGTTTCTCAGACAACTACAGATAGAACTACCATATGATCCAGCAATCCCACTGCTGGGTATATATTCAAAGGAATGGAAATCATCATGTTGAAGGGATACCTGCACTCTCATGGTCATTGCAGCTCTATTTACAATAGCCAAGATATGGAACCAACCTAAATTTCCATCGACAAATGACTGGATAAGGAAAATGTGGTATATATACACAATGGAATACTACTCAGCCATAAAAAAGAATGAAATTCTGCCATTTGCGACAACATGGATGAGGTTAGAGAAAATTGTGTTAAGTGAAATAAGCCAGGCACAGAAAAATACCACATGTCCTCACTCATAAATGGGAATTAAAAAGGAGAGAAGGAAAAGAAGGAAGGAAGGAAAAGAGAGACCAGAACTGAACTTGCAGAAGGAGAGAAGAGACTTACGGTTACCAGAGGTGGGAAAGGGGAAGGGAAAGGTTAGGAAAATTGGGTAAGGGAAACAAAAAATAATTACGATCTGTAATAATGAACATGCTAATGTTTATTTGATCATCACATATTGTACACAAATACTGATAGTGAACATTGTACCCCCAAAATATGTATAATCAAGTATGCTTCAATTAAAAAAATAAATTAAAAAAATGTGTTCCATATCCTTCATTAAAACACAAGATACCATTCATTCACTTTCAGATGTTCAAACTTAAATAGATTAGTACCCAGTATTGGCATGGGTCTAGCAAATAATCACTTTCATACATTATACATGGAAGTACACTGTAAGTATATTTTCCTGTAAGTATATGCATATGAGACACAAAACTCACTACCTTCTGGAGAACAACTTGGCAGTAACTACTAGAGTGGAAATGAAAAGTACCCTTTGATCGAGCAACTCTCTTGCTAGGAATTAACCATGTAGCTATAATCTCATTATATGTACAGGTATGTTCACTGCAAAATAATTTGGTGACATACTGTAAACAACCTAAAATCCCATCAATGTTTGAACATTTATAACACACTCATACATTGGAATACCAGTCATTAAAAAGAACGAGGTATTTCTGTATGTATTACTACAGAAAGACCTTGTAAAACACAAGCAGCAATAAAAGCAAGGTACAGGAGTGTATATAGTCCGACTTCATTAATGCAAAAATTTTTTAAGTATATATATTCTGGTAATAAAACATATCTTTCGGGCCAGCCCATGGCTCACTTGGGAGAGTGTGGTGTTTATAACACCAAGGCCACGGGTTCGGATCCTATATAGGGATGGCCGGTTAGCTCACTGGGTGAGTGTGGTGCTGACACCACCAAGTCACGGGTTAAGATCCCTTTACCGGTCATCTTTTTTAAAAAAAAAAAATAAATAAAACATATCTTTTCTTTAAGTATATGCATATGAGACACAAAACTCACTACCTTTGGAGAGAAGTATTTCGGTAGGAGGGAAGGGGGCAAGGTTTAATTTTATGCCTTACTATACCATCTGATCTTTTTGACATGTGCGTATATTCCTTCCTTTTTCCCACTTTTTAAAGAACACTTGATTAGCAGGTTATTTTGAGATATTCCTCAGTAGATTTAAATGCTGATGGCATTATTTTTCAAAATACTGTAAATAAGTGCCAAGTTTTGTGAACTAGAACTTCCCCTTAGATTTTCATTAACCTGTAGATTTGCCCCGATAATTTAATCATAATGATTTCCTGTTAAGTATAAAGTGACATTTTATAATGGCAGTTTGGATATATAACATACTTGTGATGGAATGATTAGACACTGTTGCTCAAGGACCAATGCATATACCCCAAAGGGCATTTGATGATTTATAAATATAAATGACAGCATACATTTTGACTTAAAAAAAACATAAAATTGAAATAAGACTTTATATGTACAATTAAAGTACCCATTGAATTTAGTAAAACAGTATCACACCAAAAAATATACAGTCATAAAAAAAATAGCTCTTACATTTTTCTGAGAACAGAGAAGAAATAAGGTTAAAAGTAAAAAGAAATAAAAATAAAACACTACCAAAAACAGGGTGAGAGAATTATTTATTTATTAGACAGGGCAACGTCATTTAAAGAGAGAAAACATATCCAAAAATAATGTGTTTATCTTGGTGTTATAGGCATTGATGCTCACAACAAACAACACTACTCAATACATCATGGAAACAGGTCACATACAACCAGAAAGATGCTGTCATGCCACTCAAAAGTAAGCCACAGTGCTTAGGTATGTAGCATTAGGGATTTACAGAGCATAATAGTCTCCAATTCACAGAATCTGTATTTTTCTGCAACTGGGCCATTAGCCCATAGTATTCGGCTAGTTCCCTGTTTATTAAGAAGTGAGTCTTCCTATATTGTAGAGAACTCTGATTGGTACACACTTCTGAATGTCACTGAAATCACAGTCAACTACAGGCTTAACTAGCTCACATCACTCTTTTTGAACTACCCTAGGCAGTAATGTACTGTCTCACAGTATTGTAAATAAAATTCTGTACTTAGTACATTTAGCAGTATTGTAATGCACACAAATCATCTTTAGTCCTATGGTAAATACTTGAAAAAGACAGCAAAAATTCATTGAAGTAATTTAAAAAAGAAATTTGGGGAGTTCACCTGGCCTGAGGTATACAAGCTGCTAGCAAAGGTAGACACACCTGAAAACTGCTATGTCAATTATTTGCCAAATTATTTGGCATCATTTTTAGCAGGACTTTCCTGACTGGGCAGGCAAAGATTCCAATATCCATTCCAGAGACTAGCCAAAATATTCTAAGTAGTGGTACATCATGAATGCTTGGCTGTGAGGAAAAACTATTCAGTGTAAGATTAACTGTGAAACCTGTAAGGTATCTGGCCCTCCCTCCTTAAGGACTGATTTTACTAACCCCTTCCTTTCATAGCAATAAAAGTTCTCAAGAAGAGAAGAATTTCTCACTCCACATAAAAACATATTTGGGAAGCCAGTCACAAAAGACTAGATATTATATAAATCAATTTCTAACAGTAAATCTATAAAGACGGAAGTAGATCAGAGGTTGCCTAGGGCTGAGGGGCATAGGGAGAAAATGAGAGGTGACTGCTAAAGAGTACATGATTCTTTTGGGGGTAATCAAATGTTCTAAACTTGATTATGAATGGTTGTAGAACTTTATGAATATATTAAAAATCACTGAATTGTACCCTTTAAATGGGTGAATTATAAGGTATGTGAATTATATCTCAATGACATTATTACAAAAATATATTAGAAAAGAAAGCCCCAAAAGAGAAGAAAACAAGAGGTTCTCCCAAATCAAGTCATATCTGAGGAAATGTTAGACAAGTCTGATATAAGGAAGTTGTTTCTCAAACACTATTTAAATTTAATTTTCATCACTTTTATACCTTATTTCACATTTTTAATTGAATTCTAAATTATCTCAGGTAATCAGCAGATTTCTAACTTTGTTCTCATTACAGAGCAAAGTCAGTGTTCCACAAACAAACTGGGTTGGCAAAACAAAACTAAATTAAAAAACAACAATAAAAACCCAATGACAAAATAATCTTATGCTTTGAGGCTATGTGTTATCAGCTGAGGTTCATTTCTAATGGAAAAAATGCCATCAAGTTTAAGGGCATCTTATGACTCTTGCCTAAAGTAATTCATTTTTGAACTTGCATAGTTATTCCCTTTACACCTATACAATTCAACAAAAGCAATGCTTTTATAACTGTACAATTCAATAAAAGCAATGTTCTCTACAGAGAAATGTTTAGCTTCCTGCAGCTTTCTAGCTCAAAGAGCTAGCCAAATTTTCCTATAAGTAAAACTTCTGTTTCTAAAAAAAATTCATCTCTGTATCCTCATCCTTACCTTCAGCAACATATGAAGATGGAAAACTCTAAGCCTGCTATAAATCAGAAGCTACAAAACAATTTCTTAAATGACCTTAATTTTCTAATAAAGACATTAGTTCCAAATATTTAGAACATATTTGGCCCAATTCCTTTGAAGTCTGACTTCAGATGAGAAGTTTCCTTTATTTTCACTAATTCTTTAGTTTAATATGAAATAAACTGAGACTTTAAGTTAAACTGGGTAATGACAAGTAATTAGTTTTCCTCCATGATTACTATTCTTCTACATAGGCAGGACAATGAAATCACAAATGATCTTTTCTGGTCTATCTTAACTATTCTTAGACTACATAATCAATTAGGGGAAATTTTTACAGATAAACAAAGAGAACACAGGTAGCTTTACAACAAGCTGAGCTTGTTAAACGTATTTGTTATGACAAAGAAATTCTGACACAAAAACTGTTCACTGCACACAGAACCTCAGAGAAGTGATAAAACAAGACAGCTGATGTCAGAAGGTATAGGGGAGCAGGGTGGGTTGAGAAGTCATGGATAAATTAAAAACTGACAAGTATCTGCTGAAGCAGAGCCACTTTTTAGGGGCACAAGAAAAACTAAGTCACCATTTTGGTCTCATTAGGGAAGTCCATTTGTTAAGAACTGAAGACCATTTTACTGTAAATCATGCTGCAAAATGCAGTAGTCACACAGTATTTCTAAAAGGATCCTAAAGGGGCTGGCCCGTGGCTCACTCGGAAGAGTGTGGTGCTGATAACACCAAGGCCCCGGGTTCGGATCCCATATAGGGATGGCTGGTTAGCTCACTGGGTGAGCGTGGTGCTGACAACACCAAGTCAAGGGTTAAGATCCCCTTACCAGTCATCTTTAAAACAATAATAATAATAAAAGGATCCTAAAAACTGTAGTGCAAAAGAAAGGAAATCTAAGAAAATAAATAATCACAAAAAACCCCAACATTTTTCAATGTTTTCAAAACAGTGACTTTTACAAAAGACATGAATTTGTTTCAAATGAAAGAAAAATTCTTTACAAGAAAGATCAAAGACTCATTTCACAGATAACTTATACTGCTTAATGACTTGATTAACAGCGTACAAATAAGTGCTATGGGTTTTTTAAAAAAGTACTGATGGAGGGGAGTGTTTTATACCCCAAATTCAATATTTCAGCTCTGTGTCCTGTCCTATTGCTATAATTTGTAAAAATGTTAACGACGCAGTGATTCGAGTTTTCGTAACTTCAATGATGTGTTAGAGGACAACGCATCTTGGTTTGAAGAACTGGTTGTATCCGAAGGCCGGAACAGTACACGACCGCGATGGTTAAATACATAAAAGGATGGGTGATTCCTTAATGTATCAAATGTCCTTAAAAGAAAAAAGCATCAATTTTAGATAAACCTTTATAAAAGCCTATTTTAGAATAAACAGGCTTCTAATGAATTATGAATTTGCTGTAGGTTATATTTTTAACTAAGTATAAAGCCATGAAATCAGACTGTAAATGACATTTTATTCCTATACAAAACAAAAAATAAGAAACCTGGAAAAGCAGCATAAAGCCCTCAAATTTCTTTTTCATCTAGCATTCTTTCCAGGATGTCTACGAATAATAACACAAATACTACCTGAACTTTAATCACCTCTGTAAATCAAACAGTAGCTCATGCCAAACAGACTTTCAAAAACCACTACATAGACTGTACCTTTGACTATTCTCATTTGGCCCTTGCTATTCAAGCCATACGATCATTTCAGAGGTCTGTTTTCCAAGAATTTTTCAAGTACAACAAAAAATACCTTTTGGCCCTGCTGTCATCCAAACTCATATATTTTGCTGCCACCTACTTAAAGCCATTCTATTTTCTTTCTTTCCCGGCCCCTTGCATGTGATTCTTGGTAGACTATTTGTAAGAACAGTGGTGATAGTGGAGTATTCTTTCTTCTTTTCCAGTGAAATACATATAGTCTAAAGAAGCTCACCTCAGTGTATGACCTTCAGTGTTTGTTTTTAAATATTATTTTCCTGGAAAGAACAGAAGAAACCCTCCCTTGATAAAAACTCAAATCTCAATGTCAGCCCATCCAAGCATACTCCCATACAAAACAGGAGACCTGATATGTGACTATTTAAAATGTAAATAAGGAAGTAAAAGTAAAGGGGGGGGGGGGGGGTTCCTCTAACACATAAATGTTTTCTATATAGATCCTATGAAAATATTATAAAGGGTTATCAATTTCAGGATCAGGAAGGAGGTGGGTTAGGTCCAGAGATGGAACTGAACAAAGCTAAAGGATGATTTTAGGAAAGCAAAAATATTGGGGGAGACGGGGAAGAAAACAAAGCTCATGAAAACAGTTTAGAAAAAAGAAAATAATTTAGAATAAGTATAGGAGAAAAAATAAAGCAGAATAGCAAATATATATACTCTAATCCAGAGATAGAAAAGGGCCTGAAGGCAGAGATTATATCACAGACTAGGTTCAAGTGAGAGAGAAAAACAGAAAACCCCTTATTCTTCCAAAAACTAAGCTGGGACAAGAGGATAAAAAGGGGAAGAAAGGAAGGGAGAAAAGGAGAAAGGCAGGGATTAAGGAAAGAAGAGAGAGGGAGAGAAAGGAGGGAAAGGTGAGGGAGGGAGCTTCGTTAAAATTTCTAAGGGATTATCTTTCTATATATCTATTTCCATCCAGCCAGCCAACCAACCAATAATCTTAAGCAATTAATAGGTACATCTTATTCTAAAAAAATGTCAATATTCTGACATTCAACTTCCATTTTTCCTATGATATCAAACACTGCCTCAATATTTTTACCTCATTACTCAAACTTCATAATCAAAATGTAAAAACAAACCAACTTTTAGGTACAGAAAACATATGTTGTAAATTACATAAATAAAGCAAATCCTGTGAAATAAAATGCCTATGAAAAGGGAAAGACTTACTTATTTTTTAGTTCTGAAGTGGCATCCATGTCTTTAAACTCCCCTGCAATATGAACTATACCATAACAGGTAACTGCAAAGGCCAGAAGTGTCTGAAGAACTATCTGTGAGTATAAAGATTGAAATTACTAAATAACACACAAGTATTATTATAAACATTTACAATCTCTCTACCTCTTTATAGCCTCTAACAGGTAGTCCTCTCAGTGCCACTCATCAAGGAGTCGATTCTGACTTGAAATGATTTGGATTCAGACACAATAAGATCTATAAATTCTGTGGCTTGGCCATAAAAATACTTCTGATGCTTCAATAAATGAATTTAGTGACATGCTCAAATAAGCAAAATTACTGAGTATTGAATAGTACTGAATGGTACTGAGCCACTCAGGAGGACTCAATTATCAAATATTGCCTGCTTCCAAGAGCAACTGAGAATTTTTAATGTATTATTGTTAAATATACATAGAGTACATAAAGCATGTGTACAATATAAAGAAAAGCAATAAAGAGAACACAACTTACCCACTACCCAGCTTAAGAAATAGAACATTCCCAGTACCTTTCAAGTCCCACATGTCCCTCTCTGACTATATTGTTTACCCTCCCTCTCAAAATTAACGATTGTCCTGAATTGTGTATTAATCAGTTCCTTGCTTTTCCTGATCATGTTACCGGCTATGTATCTCAAAAACATGTATTGCTTACTTTTGCCCATTTGGAACTTTATTTAAATGGACACAAATGTGTTCTTTTCTGTCTAGCTTTCCTCACTTGACATTGTAAGAGTCATCCCTGCTGTAGTATGTAGTTGCAGTCCATTTATTTTCATTATGTTTTGTATTTTAGTATATGAAAATACCATGATTTATCCACTTCACAGTTATTAGATATGTTGGTTGTTTCCAGTTTGTTATTTTTACAATGTCAACATGAATATTCTTGTGTATGTGTCCTGGTACACAGGAATGGAAACACTGAGTGTGGAGTATACACATGCTCAACTTTATTAGGTAATACTAAACTGCTTTCCAAAGAGATTGTGCAAGCAAAAATGTTGAATGATATTAACCAACATGGAATTACACACATATTCTCTTGATTGTAATTTTCTGTATTCTTCAAATTTTCCAATTTGAAAATAAAAGTTATTTAAAATAGATATAAATGAGTGCGTGTTTGTAGCCACCACAAAGCAAAGGTGATAGAAGGATGACTTAATAGCCACATCTACTATATCCTTAATTATAGACAACTAAAGTCAAAATTAGACACAAGCTATTATTCTGTCTAAATTAAAACCTAATGTCATATGTAATATCGGTTTACATTCCCACCACCAGTGTACCAAGATTTGTTCCATACAATGCAATCAGGCACTGTTAACAAGAATGTGGTATGTCTATGAGTTACCATGAAAATAAAGTCTTTTTAAAGGAAAAAAAACCTGTTTTGATTAGATAAAATAATACATAAATAAAGGTAATGTTATTTATGCATAGGAAGAAGAGTGAACTACTGATCTACTTCAAACTGTTAGAAGTAGAAATGGAATTAGGAATGGGGTCAGTTTTTTGTGTTGTTACTGTTGCTAATTATATACAGTCAGTTTTAATTTTCACACTTACTGTTTGATTCTGTTACAAAGAGCTTACTACTTTTGTAATTTCAAATCCGGTAAAGACAAAAATTATGAGTGAAGCTGGAATATATATCATACATATCATTTTAGCTTAAAATTAAAAACACTTTCCTGTTTTTCTTTAGTTTCACCACCTGTGTGCATCCCTAAGCAATGCATTGTTAGCTTTGCTTGTTTTAAAACTTTATATAAAAAGAAACTTTTCTAAAAACTAAAGCCAAATAATCAACTTTTAAAGTCCATCTCATACTACTGGCAAAGCAACTTCTACAAAGATTATTTCAACTACAGTTCTGGAAACCAAACGGAGAACTCTTTTAAAACTTCCAAATCTATGAGTTATAATGAGTGATGAGAAGTAGAAAACAGATGCTATTTCATGTCTGGAAAATTTTAAGAGAACAAAAGCCAGTAAAAAAAAAAAAATGATAATAAGTTATATGGCTAATTTTAAAAATATATTTTAATGGAATATAAATGACCAACTTACATCTATTGGCAGTGATTCATCTTCCTTTTCTGTTAATCGCATATAAGAACGATCTATAAACCAGAAGCATACCATTAAGGAAATCGTAGCCCATTTTTCTTTCTTAAAATGCAAGCAAACCAATATACCAAAGAGGTGGCTGACATATGCTACATAAAGTAAAGCTAATCCTGGATTCCTCAAAAAACCCTATCTTTTAAGGCAATCAGCCTTGTCTTAATAAAGTATCTTATTTTCATTATGACCTGTTTTGTCACCTTATAAAACATGTTAAGAGGGATAAGTGAGCAAGTATGAGGCAGAAATACCTAAGCATAATGTTTCTTTCATTACTACAGAAAAACTAGAAGCCTTTTAAATGAACTCTTTCTTTCACTAACTGGTCAAAGAAATCACAATTATTTAAGAATTAAGTTCTACGAAAATGTCAACTCTGAAATAGCACCACTGTCACAGTACGGACAAACTAATATCGGTATGGAAATGTTTCTCCTGAGAATATGCGGGGCAGTGGTGGAATAGCAATCCCAGGACATCAATTTCTGCCTCTACTATTTATTTCTGTTGCTGCATTAACCTCAGGAGGCAGCAAGCAAAAAACGAAAAGTATCAGGTTTTGGAAGCTGATAAGCCTGGATCACAGTAACAGCTCTTTGGCTGTTGCTGTATCTCACTCAATTTAAGACACCCTCAGCAATTGTAACATGTATCTCATTTTAGAGTGTTAAAATGTGGGAGTGAGAGGGGGAGTGTGTCTTACAATGAAAGAAATACAATACCTATCTTTCCGTTGCCTGAGTTTTTGCAACTGCAAAAAAGGAATAATGTGAGGATTAAACTAGATTCAGTACATGAGATTGGTGCTCTGCTATTACAAAGTTCATTACAGCAAAGATGAGTACCTCCCAGCACCATAGTATCCTATCTGTTGTTACAATGTGAGATGGCACAATTAGTCTCAAAGGTAAATATCAGTCTCTTCCCATCATGAGTATTATAAAGAGGTCTCACTGCCTTGACAAATCCACAAGACATTCTCATTACTTGAAGCATAAAAATACAAAGTCCTAATTCTAGATGAACCTAGGACAATCCCTACTTAAAAGTACTTTGGACTAAAAAACCCAAATTATTTTGAGTGAACGCATATTGACTCTTCCTTTAAACAGAATGTGTTTAGAGACATTTCTTTTTTTCTTTTTCTTTTTTTTTTTGTCTTTTTCCGTGTCCGGCAACGGATCGCAACCCTCAGTGTCGCCCCCGCACCCCGCACCGGACCGGGGACGGCAACGGGATCGCAACCCTCGGTGCTGCTCCCGTGCCTCGCTCAGCCAGTGAGCGGGAACCGGTCTGTATGTGGGATCCGAACCCTCGGGCGGGAGCGCCGCCCCGCTTCGAACCGGTCTGTATGTGGGATGTGGGATCCGAACCCTCGGGTGGGAGCGCCGCCGCGCTTCCCAAGCGGCGCACTTATCCAGTGCGCCACCGGGCCGGCCCTAGAGACATTTCTTAAGTTTTAACTCACAGGGTTTTTCATAAGGATAGATGTAAAAGAAAAATTAAAGCAATACCAAAAATAGATTTTGACTAACTTCTTAGTGTCTGTTCAATTCCCAGCTAGCTTTCTTGTTTGCATGAAGCCTAATCTGACTCTAATGCTACCTTTAACCAGGCATTTCCCCATCTGTAAAATGAAAGGATTGGACTTCAGTTATCTACAAGGGCCCTCCTTGCTCTATGACTGTACAATTTTACAGCCGAAGGTTATTGTAAAAAATGACAAGAGTATTCCAGTGTATCCTAATCTCCTCCAGAACAGTGATTCTCATGCTAATGTGTATACAAATCACCTGGGGATCTTATTAAAACGCAGATTCTGATTCAACAGATCTGGGGTGGGGCCTGAATGTCTTCTAATAAGCTCCCAGGTGACGCTGGTCTGTTGGCCACACTTTGAGCAGCAAAGCTTTAGGATACTTTCCTTACCTCCCAACTCCCCCCAGAACGACTGCCGCCACCTTCATGCATCCTTACATCCTTTTAGGACAACATCTATATCACTTTATTCTGATTATTTCTTGATCCACTTGTTTCTCCACTAGACTTTGAACTCCCTCAGGGCATCACCGTACCTCTAGCACTCAAGCCTAGGGCAATTTCAACCAGTGATCCAAGAATGAATTTTATAATGCAGTATAGCGCCTATCTTTCGTCCAAGGTCACACATTCAGCGGTAAAGCAAGTTTTCAACAACCAGCCCTTCAGACTCCTAGTTCAGTGCTCTTTCCCCTGTCCCACAGTGCCTCCCTGAGGCAATCGGTCACTTAAGTTGTCAGTCTCTGCTTTGACAGCCCAGTAGTGCCCAAGATGTTGTCCACCTAGCTGTCCTGTGACCATGAGCATATAGAGTCTTCAATCCCATACTCTGCCTGATCTGCCCCATACTGGATCTCACATCGCTCGTTCTGGGTTCCCGGACTGACACCCGCTCTGACCCCTCTCCCGTGCACCCCCTTCCAACCTTCCTGCAATTTCAGTCCCGCTCTTTTCAAACTCCAAACCTTCCACCGGGGACCCCCGCACTGCTTTTTTTAGTCACCCCAAACTGTAAGGTCTCAAACGACTGTTACTAGGACATTCGGTTCGACAGTCCCTTAGGAGTGCGCCCACACACCGTCCCCAGGGTCCCACATGAGAGCGGTCCCTGTCCGCAGGCACTTACGCTGCGCAGCGGAAAAAGCGGCGTGGGCTAGTGCAAAGAGGCCGATGCCCACCAGCCCCTTCCACAGCGATGGCGCCATGACTTTGAGAGAGTAGCAGCCCAACAAAGCGAAGGGCGGTGGAGCCTTTCCTCCTTCCACCGGCGGGTGTCCGCACGGCGCAGAAAGATGACGTCACTGAAGCCCTCTGCGCGAAGTGTCTCAGTGGCGGAAGAACCAGACAGCTGTGGAAAGCGGAAACAGGTACGCGGAGAAGAACGGGATAGCTTCACGGAACGAGGTCCGCAGTAGCCTAGAGGCCTGTGCGGGGCGGCCTCCCTGGAAGGGGCGGAGCTGCGTGGAGGGCTTAAAAGAGAAGGGGAAAGTGGACCAGTGGGGAAGCGAAGAGGAAGGGCGCCAGCGAGTGAGCGCGGGCCGCGGGGAAGAGGGCGGGGCCTGCGAGGAGGACTGGGTGGGGCCGAGGGGTGGGGTGGCTGGAGATGGTGGTGAAAGGCCCTCAGTTCAGACCCCCGATGGTTGTTTTTTTGTTGGTTGGTTGGTTTTGGTTCTCCTCCAAACTGCGTCTTTTGTTTTCTGTTGGCGTTTCCTGTGCTTCAGCCCTCTGGGAGCTGGCACTGTGGAGGGAGACAAGGGTATTAAAGCGAGAAAGCAGGTGTTGAGGACAGCAGCCCTGGATTTGGGGCCACAAATACTTGGCACGTGGAAGATGCTCAGTGAATGTTAGTTCCCTTCTCCTTACCTTCAAAAGTTCTTGGAGAAACACTCGCGCCAAGAGAGGTGTAGCGCGACAGGAGTGTTTTGTCACGAAGAGAACCAGCTTACATTAAAGAGGAAATGAAAGAGAGGGAATAAAAGGGTGATAACAACGCAGTCCCTTCTTGTCTCTGTCTCCCTCTGCCTCTGGTCAGGATAAAATGTCCTCTCCTTTCTTCATTTTTATTTGTCTTCGTCTTCCGAAATGTAGACATTCAGTAGTACGGTTCTCTCCTTGACTTTTCACTCTGCTCTCCCTTGGCGAGCTCACCCATTCATTCCCACTACTTCAGCCATCATAGGTATTATACTGATTCCAAATCAACATCGCTATCTCAAATATCTCTACTTAGCTCCAGATCTGCATTTCTGACTACCTGCTGGACATTTATTTCCATGTGAGTGGTCCTGTGGCACTTCAAACTTGATAGGGCCAAAACGGAATTCCTCCTTTTTTCCAGACTGCACCAATTCCTCCAGTGCCCCCTGGCTGAATGGCACAGCTTTGTAAACTGCATGTCACAGGGTAAATGCAAAGTATGATCACCATATTTTCCCCTCAACTCAACCCAATCAGAATCCCACGTTTCAGCTGCATCAGTTTGCCCACCCTCACTTGCTCAAAGATGCCTATCCTGACCACCCCTTTTAAGTTGGTAATGTTCCTGTTCCTGGTCCTCTTAGGCTGCTGTTTTTTATATCACCTTCTAATATACTATATAATTTAGCTATTTATTATGTTTTTTGTGCTATTGTTGCTTACTGTCTCTCGTCCCCCACTGTAATGTAAGCTCCAAGAGGACAGAGATATCTCTGCCCCTAGAACATTGACTGTCACATGGTAGGCATTCTATAAATATTTGTTGAATAAAGAATGAATGAATTATGGAAATAATTATGTATTCCTGTTTAAAAAGGATCTCTACAGAGGGTCCTACCATTATTTTGAACTGGGTTCAAAAATCGCTGTGGATTTGCACAGATGGGTACATTTTGATAACCCTTTGATTGTAAACATTTCCTGATACCCTTGAGCTTCTTCAAAGCTGAAAAAAATAGAAAATAAAGAAGACATATGAGATTCATCATATTTTATCAACTTTATTTATATAGTTTTTATCCTGGATCCCATTTTCCAAAGCTTTAGTCATGGTCATGATAACCAAAAGAATCTGCTCTGACCAGGTCAGCTAAATTACAGTTTATAGCCTTAGAAGATCTGGGATAAGTCAGTAATCACGTCCACCTGTGCAGGAAGACGTTATCATGAGAGCATTTTATTTAGAAGCAGCCGTAATGGCACCAGAAAGCCATAAAAAGACCTAGAATACTTCTTATTACCCTTACTCTAGATCCCTGCAAGTAAGATGTAACCTAGTAACAATCCCAAATCTGTATGTCATGTACTATCAATAGAAAGCCTGATGAAGTGATTAGACAGAGCCGACTTTCTCTCTCTCTCCTTTGACCCTTCCCCCTTCTTGTGATTATAAAATGTTAAACTCTGCTGGCCCTCTTTGGAACACATTTTCAGGGTGAACTGATCTATGTGTCTTCCCAGTCGCAACCATATTGGCTTAATAAATCCTTTTTATATGTATTTGGTCTCAATTTCTTATTAAGTCAACGGTCATTATTTTTCTCTGAGCCCTCTCCAATTTCTTCACCTCTAAGCCAAAATTTTACACAGTACGTGATCAATGTCAAGTGCAATATAATGTATTCCTTACAAATGTAGTCCTATTTATAAGCTTCACAATCAGGAGGAACCAGGAAGTAATCTCTCTAGTTGGCAGGAAAGTGCTTCCTTCTCCACCCCTGGGAGGTGGCAAGATAAAAAAGATAGTTGACAAAAAAAAAAAAATTAGAACTTTGTTTTAGCTTGGATAATGGTCAACTTGAAATTAGCCTTTCAGGTGCCCTGGTTTTGTTTTTGTCTTTGTTTTTGTTTTTTTAAAAGATGACCAGTAAGGGGATCTTAACCCTTGGCTTGATGTTGTCAGCACCATGCTCAGCCAGTGAGCGAACCGGCCATCCCTATATAGGATCTGAACCCATGGCTTTGGTGTTATCAGCACTGCACTCTCCCGAGTGAGCCACGGGCCGGCCCTCAGGTGCCCTGTTAAATTACCTCTTCTAATATCAATTTATCTGAAGCAGAAAATGATTAAGAGTTTTCTTAAAGTATCTGAGATCTGGTTCATTTCTTTTAAAAAGATGAGGTTATAGAAAAAAGAGAGTCAGTAAGGAATCTGATGTTTGTATAAGCCGCCAATGCATTATCCTAGTCTGCAAGGAAGTGACTTATGTCCAGGCATTAAGTTTTTTTTCTCTATTGCCTTCTTAAGATGCAATCCCTACTCTCTTCTTTTTAATCTCTTATCCAGGTGCTGAGTGCAAGAAAAACTAGCTTAGTTTCGCATTTTCTAGTAACAAATGGTTAAATCATGTTCATGGAATGGGATTTTAATTGTCTTATCTGTAGATTCCAACATGAAGAGACGCTAAGGTATTCATAGTCACAGTTACCAAGGACTGTGTCATTCAAATAAGTACCTCAGGTCCACTCACACGTGGCTGTCTAGGTTGGAGTTAATCCCAAAGATGCAAGGTACAGATAGTAGCAGCACTGTTTTCATGAGCCCTTAGAACAAAAGCCAAACCTCAAGAGTATTTAAATTCCTAAGTGACCCCAAAAGTGCTTTTTGTTTTCCCAAAGAAATGGTTGTTTTCCATATGCACCGTGGACAAATGATGTGGATGTTATTAAAGATGTGGATAATGATCGTTAAAGCGTTTCCTACCAAGATGTTATTTGTTAAGATCCATCATGTTTCCCATGATAGTCTGTTGACTAGAGAAAATACTGCTATCCTGGAATTGTCTTCAATTAACTTCGTTTCATACCACCCAACTTAATGATTATCTTGACACACCATTCATTCATGTTTCCATTTCCCATGCAGATTCTCCCTCTGTCAGGCATACCCCTTTCCCTACAAATACGTTCTGGACTAGTATAGGTATCTATAAGAGGAATATATAAGAGTACTTCAAAAAGTTCATGGAAAGATTTGTTTTATCTTTTAATTCTATTTTCCCACGGAACTTTTTGAAGTACCTTCGTTTCTACTCTAGGTACTCAATCTTTCTTCTCTGGGTAACAAATTCTAGAAGTTTACTACCTGCTGGGTACACTAGTATTTTTGATATTGAAATTGCATCATCTATACTATTTTTTCTTTACAAAATTGATATGTGCCTGTTGTAAGCATTTCAAACAACAACGAAAAATGTATTCCTCTTAAAATATTAAGTGGTACCTTGATATTTTGAGTTTTGAATCTTAGTAAACAAGACTATGGTTACATGATTCATATCTTTAAGATTTGTTTGTTTGCTGGATGGTTTATACTACAGTGATTAAAAGCATACGTTCGGGCTGGCCTGTGGCTCACTCGGGAGAGTGTGGTGCTGATAACACCAAGGCCACGGGTTCAGATCCCATATAGGGATGGCTGGTTGCTCACTGGGTGAGCGTGGTGCTGACAACACCAAGTCAAGGGTTAAGATCCCCTTACCGGTCATCTTTTTAAAAAAAAAAGAAAAAAAAGCATACGTTCTGTAATTTGATTGGATTTGGATCCTGGCTTTGCCTTTTCTCTCTCTGAGATACTGAAGAAGTTACTTACCTTCACTGTGCCTCTGTTTCCTCATCTGTAAAGTGAGGGTCATAATAGTGCTTACCTGATAAGGTTGTTGTCAGGATTGAGTGAGACCATGCATGTACTATAAAATGTTTAGAATAGTCTCACACATAGTAAGCACTCAAATGTTAGCCATTGTTGTTGTTGTTATTGACTCTTCTAGCTGTTTTTTCAAACTGAAGAGGTTCTTCATCCCTTCATTCTTTCCTAAAACATCAGTTGCTTCTCCCTTTTGATTATTTTAGTTGCTCTTCTCTGAACCATTTCCAGATCTACTAATATCTCTCTTAGGGTTACATTACCACATCTGCACAAAGTATCCTAGGTTACTTATATGAAGTTAAAATGATTATTCAAATAGCCTTCCTAATGACACCAAAAATCTTATTTGCCTTTTTAGCACATTAGGTTGGTCTGTTCAGGAAATACACTGTGAGAACTCCAGCATCCTTATGCTGGGCTCTAACTGATGGCTATGACCTAATATTTGTTCTTCTTGCATATAGGTATTCTCTATACTACTGCCCTAGGACTGAGTCTCTTTCCACCCTTCCTTCTTTGGAGAACACATCAGCTCCTACAGCTTCAATATTGTGCATATAGCCCCCAGATCTATCACTGGTCCTGACTTCACTCCTGAATAGCAGAGCCAAGTTTCTAACTGCCTATTTTGATATCTGCCCTTGGATATCCCACCAGTCACTTAAATCCAACTTGTCTATAGCCAATCTCTACTTTCTGACTCCTGTATTAATACTACTAACAGCTCTATGTTTTACAGTCATCCAGGTTCAAACCTTGGAGTCATCTTTCAATTCTTGTTCCTCAAGTGCTCCCCCCGCACCCACCCAATCAATTGTCAAGACAGATTAATCCTACAGCCAGCTCTGACACCCAGCTTCCCATTCTCATTCCTACTGTGCCTGCT